TGTGCGAATGGAAGCTCACTGTTAACAAATCTCCTAATTTTTGCAACTTTTCTGTGAATCTAAAATTATTCCAAAATAAAAAGTCTATTAAACATCTAATAATTTTAATAATCAAAGAGAAGGAAGGAACTAATCTCAAAACAAAGGACAGTTATATAAAATGAAATTCATTTAGCTTTATGAAAAGTTGACTACACTATACTTGTTTTTCTCATTTTGGCATTAATTGGTAAAGACTTTTTGACCTGCATTAGTATAGATACATGGATTATTGGCATTTAGCAACCACCATGGGACAGCTTTATTTAATTTACTGTGAAATGAGGTGATATTGTTTTCCTTTTTACTTCGTTTAGAGTCAGATACCCTTACACTTTGTACCTGAGCAGATATTTGGCCTATGTCCCTTTAATGAATCCAACCTGACTCTGTATAATCCCAGGTTATGGATTTTAACCAAGGTGGGTTTGTGGATCCTCTCCAACATAAGACTTAGCTTTTCCAAGGAATTTCCTTGATGCCACTGGCCCTTCAGAGACTCAGAGTTTCCTGACTCAGTAATGCCTGAAAAAGCCGTTTCTCATTACTAGAAGGGAAGAGGAGGGTAAGAAGAGGACAGTTTCCTCATGTCACTGCCACTTAAGAGGAATTTGAGAAGAGGTTATTATAGGGGAGCACCTGGTAGAACAGACTCCAGCCATGCAGCCATAACGTAAGTCTGAGCAGTGCACACGCTTGGGAGGAACCTAGTGTGCGATAGAATTCAGGGGTAAGTTCCTGCAAAGGTGTGTAGCTTCTGAATCATGGTAGCATATTGGAATCATCTGGGCAGATTAAAAAATGCTTTTTGTCTACTGGGGAGAGAAACCAATAGACATATGAACTATCATGATCATATGGTTCATTTTTATAGAGGTGGGTAATTTTTTTAGCTATAACTATCTAATTAGCTAAAAGTAAACGTTGGTACTGTTATAATGATGTTATTAAATCAAAAAGTATGAAGAAAGTTTCAAGGACAATAGATTTATTTCTGGAACAAGAGCGACAGTGAGGAAAAGGCTGTGGCTGGCAGTCAGATAAAGAGCCGAACTCTATGAGGATGTGCTGGGTTTTCTCTTTTCTTACAACATCTATCTTACATTATCCTATGTAATACCCACTAGCATAAAGCATTGGTTCCTCAGGAAAGTCGTATGAAAATATGGAGGGCCTTTATAATCAATAAGTAGTAATCTATAGAAATATACAACTTTTGTCCAGCTGGTGTGGCTCAGTGGTTGAGTGTCAACCTATGAACCAGGAGGTCATGGTCCAATTCCTGGTCAGGGCACATGCCTGTGTTGCAAACTCAATCCCCAGTGTGGGGCATGCAGGAAGCAGCCAGTCAGTGATTTTCTCTCTCAGCATTGATGTTTCTATGTCTCTCTCCTCCTCCCTCTCTGAAATCAATAAAATATTTTTAAAAAGAAATATACAATTTTTAATAAAATACAGTTTATTATTTTCAAATGTACATTTTTAAAAACAGATGTAAGTACAAAGAAACATAATTCTATTTGTCCCTTAAAATACCTATTAGAATGTTTAATGCATATATTCTTTGACCTACCAGGTCCACATCTAGAAATCTACCCAATATATGCTGATGGAAGTGCACAAAAATATATGAAAACAAGTTTGTTACAGTATTGTTTATGACAGCAAAAAGTAGAGATAATCTAAATTTCCATTAGTACAAGACTATTTAAATGAACTATTGTTCACTCCTATAATTAAATATTATGCCATCATCAAAAGAATGAGGTATTGATATAGAAAGATGTCAAGATTATCTTAAGGAAAAAAATAAAGTGGCAGAACAGTATGCATAGTGTAAGTCTTTTTTGTGCTTTGAAGAGGATATCTGTGTATTTATGTATATACACATTTACTTAAATGTGCATAGATTATTCCTGACCGTGCACAAAATCTGTCAAAAATGTTTACCTTTAAGGAGGCAACTGAAGCCTGGGCAATGAGTATGAAGGGAATATTTTTAATTATTCTGTACCACATACCTCCTGAATTCTTATAATTTTTTCTATAAGTATTGTTTTTTGAATAATGAATAATTGTTAAAAATAAAAAATATTAAATTTATTTTATTTATTTTAATAACTTTTAAATATATTTATATAATTAAAGAAGTCTTTTAATGTTAAAGCCTTTATTCTGCACTAAAAAATTTTCAGGCATGTTAAAGGGGGAAAACAGCTCCATTACTTTCATTCTTAGCTTAAATAATTATCGACTTATGGTGAATGATCCCTGAAAAAAATCACAACACAAAAATTAATTTCCACCATTATTTAGAAAAATTACATATACCACAAATTACATATATAGGAGAGCCTCAAAATTTGTGTTTTAATAGCCCAAATTGAGAGATTTCCCTCCCCCCACTCCCCTGGATGTTTATGCTTCTCTTGAAGTGTCATGGAAACATTCGATAATGAAGCAACCATATTGAGCTCTTCACTTCATTTGCAGCGTTAGGCTTTTGTGCAGATGGGTCCTGATCATATGCTGTTTTTGGATTGACTCCTGTTTTTTCATAACCAGAAATTAGTGAAAGATGGTTTTCCATGATCTAATCAGCTATTTAACCCTAAGATAATGGAATATTGTTTTAAAACATGAATTTTTCATCCTTTTTCTGATTTACTATAACATGTTTCCAGAGTTGGTATTTTAAAGAAAACTTTTGCAATTTATAAAACATTTCTTACATGTCTTTGCCTCTGACATATTTTCCCCACATATAGTGACTTGTCAACTTCCATTGTTCCCTAATCTGATACCATAATTACTGTGATTATCTTCTTTTTTCCTGTTTCTCTTTGTTTCTGCTATCTTTATATTTACTGTTTGTGTTAGACCTACTCTTTTAGATAAGAGTCTCTCTGTTCAGATCACCTCATTGATGGTTGGCCTTTTGTGTCTGGCCAATAGATAGCTAGAGTGTTAATTTCTGATCCAATCATGTGTGTCCAGGAAGTGAAGGTTTTTTGAAACATAAAACACCTCTCATTCAATTAGAATCTCATCTTATGGACAATTCTTAGTCCAACAGCCCCAACAGAAGACATTTAAAATTCTATTAAATGTATCTCCAGCCCCACTCAAAAAGTAATTTTAAACGAATCAGTCTAAAGGAAAGCTTAGATTTACACTACATAACCCACAGATTTTATGTTCAACTCATCAGTAGTGTAGTTACAATGACACTGGCCTTGAATTCACAGGTTTATACAAAGTTTGCATCCCTACTTGGCCACTTCCCAGGTGGCCAGCCTTGGCTCACAGAAATTGTGACCTCCTATGTAATCTAGAGATAACAATATTGTAAGATTGATGTGAAGATTCAGAGTGATTGTGTATGTAAATTGAGTAGGACAATAGCTGACACCAAGTAATTCTAATAGCAGCAAACCTTTATTGAGTGTGTACTGAGTAACAAGCCATTATTCTAAGCGTCGTATGATTATTAGCTCTGTAATCATCTGAACAACCCTATGAGAGTATTACCATTTGACAGATGACACAGGCAGGTCCTGTAGTTTGTTTGAGATTACACAGCTCACACTGTTAACAGCTATGCCAAACCAACCCTCCCTAGGAAGTCAGTGCCCAGGTTTGTTTCTATCCTGACATCTGTGGCCTTTTGAGTTCTACCCCTGTCAGACCCACATGTGAAGTACCATCCTATTTTGTCCTCCACCAAATCCAACCATAATCCTGGTCCATCATGCTCAATGGCTGCCTTGGGAATTGGGAGTGTCCCAGGGCCAGGGATTGCACGGCGAATCATTTTATTTGCTCTCTATCCTCTCATCATAACTGAGGTTCACTCCAGCCTGTGGTATTATCTCAGTAGGAGCAGCAGTCACAGGCCAGGCTGCCTGCCTTGGAATTCCAGTGAAGAAACGGTCTTTAGCCTTGTGATAGCATTGTGTCTTCCTGTTCTCTCCCCTCCACTTGTCAAGCACTGAATAGTTTAAGTGGGGTTAGTCCTTAAGCCAGACTGGGAAGTAGGTAACGTTTGCTTCTTTAAGCCACCCATTCTATTAGTCTGTCCTATTTCAGTCTTTCATATCTCAATGGGTCAGTTTAATGAAAAGTTTACAGCTTCTGAAGAAATAGGAGATGGGTGAGGGGATGGGAACGGTCATTTAGAGCAATGCTTCTCAGACTTGAATGTGCGTATGAATCAGCCACCTTGTTAACATGCCGATTGTGATACAGTAGATCAGGAGTGGGCCCGAGATGCTGCATTTCTCGCAAGCTCCCAGGGATGTCAATGCTACTGGTTTCTCGACCACACAATGAGCAAGTATTTAAAAACTGAGCACCACCCAGAGCTGGCAGAGGATTTACCCTGTGAGGTTTTCCAGGAACATTTCATTCGAGGAAATGAGTCTCTCAGTGGCATTTAGCTCATGTAACTGGCTGCTAGGAGAAACTTCTCCATTTCAAATCATAACCTACACTGCTTACCAGTAGAGCCATTCCTGGATGGAGAAAAGAACAGTATAAACTTGTCAAGTTTTGATAGAAACAATGTAAAATTAGGCATTCTCCTCCATCAGTTTAATTTAGTGACTCTCACATGATTTATATGCCTTTTTCCTGAGCTTTATGTGAAAGTATCCACTCGCTGCTGCTGCAGGTTGAGTTTCTCACGACGGGGGAAATAGATGACTAAACTTATTCTGGTGCAAGAGCCACAGTGTATTTCAGTATCTGCTTCTTGTTCCTTCGATCATCACATTTGGAGCCAGCTCACTAGGAGCATTTGTGACTAATTTGGTTAGAAATGGTGTGATAATACTAATCTGAATAATGAAATCTTGTGCAGGGCCTTACAAGTGGAAGTGCAGTGTGGCAGAAACCTGTGCAGTGATGGCGGGTTCTCCTTGTGCTGGCAAAGGCTTACATTCTCTGTTTCTATTTTCTAGGGAGGAGAGCACTGTTACTACCAGGGCCACATCCGAGGAAACCCGGCCTCATTTGTTGCATTGTCAACATGCCATGGACTTCAGTAAGTGTCCAGTTTTTTTGTGTGTGTGCTACCCCATGTGTTCAATCACTTATTTTCTTTATTTTTAAGGCACTGTAATCAAAATCCCCATTTTATGTCAAGAAATCATTTGAAATCTGGGACGGATCTGATCTTTTCTCTTCTGTGGTTTATAAGCCAAACATATTTTAAAATTAGAGTTGCAGAAACCGGGGGCTTTGGAATTATAATATGATACCTTATAGAGATGGTTGAAGCATTTTTCTAGTTTCGTCCAAGTTGAGACAGAAGTTGTTGGGGTAATTTTGGTCTCTGTGTCTGTGGATGTTTAGACTCTGGGTACCAGTTCTGCTTTCACTTCTCGTTGGTGTCAGTTTTTGTATTTTTATAAAATAATAGACATTTCAGTAGATGGGAACTCTTAACTCCTTGAGCAAAGAGAAAAGGCTGCAAGTGACCTCAAGAGCTCATGTGTTTCAGCTTATTTTTCAGCTAAAATCCCACCTAAGCCACTGCAAACCGGGGGGAGGTTCCGCCTGTTCTTAGAAATCTCCAAGGATCCGAGTTCATCCTTTCTCGGGGCCTTGCTTCCTTTCTCATAAAGTTCATTATCAAAGAATGTCTGCTGATGTTTAACATGGGAATACATCTACTTCCTCTGTCCTGTCGGTGATGGCGAGGCACAGGTGGCCATCTGTCATTTGTTTTGTAACCCCTTACAAAACCACCATGTTATTCCTCAGCTTTCTATTTTAGCGAAATCATCTCAGTTCCTTTGGACTTGTTTACTGTTGTTTGGGCGGGGGGG